AGAGGTCCAAAAGCAGCAATGGAGGAGCAGTGAAGCAAACGAGTGAGTGAGAAAGAACTGTACCCTGGGAGCAGAGTAAAGAAAAAGCATTTTGCCCTGGCTGGTGTGGCTCAGTGGACTGAGCGCCAGACTGTGAACCAAAGGGTCACAGGTTCAATTCCCAGTCAGGACACATGCTTGCGCTGCAGGCCAGGTCCCCAACATGAGGTGTGCAAGAGGAGACCGCACAGTGATGTTTCTCTTCTCTTTCTCCTTCCCTTCCTCTCTCTGTACAAATAAATAAAATCTTTTTTTAAAAAAGAAAAAGCATTTCAAGAAGCAGAGAGCATTCAAATGTGTCAAATGCTGCTCCAGTGTAGGGCAAGGACTGATAATTTCCCATTAGATTCGTCAAGACAGATGTTCATTCTGGGGGACCCTGAAAAAAAAGATGTTGGTACAATAGGTAGGACTGAAAGTCTCAGGAGCGGGGTGAAGATAAAAAACTGTTCCTCAAACATGCCAGTGTGTCCCCACCTCAGAGCCGTGACCGGTGCTGTCTGGTCATCCCGCAGCACTCGTCCCTCCAGACCTTTCCTGGACGTGCACATCCCTCACCACCCTAAAATCAGCACCCTCCCTACTAACTACTTTCTACCCTTATCTCGCTTTCTTTAATAGTGCATAACAATACTTTAAATTGTGTTATTTCATTTGTTTACTTGTTTGTTGATCTCCCCCACAGTATGAAGGAATAGTATGCAGAAGCACTTCTTTTTAAGGACAACAAGGACATTTTTCTAGGTGCATTATTCCCAGCAGATCTTCCAGTCCCTGAAGATACAACCTTACTGACTAGCAATCTCCTACGATGCAGCAGCAAAGAAGGTCCATGACTTTACCACCACGAGCAAACCCCCTTGACTGCCATTCTTCCGCCACAAAGTTTCCTACTTTCCTTGGTTATAAACCCATCATGAGGTTTTCTCACAGAACATTTTCATCTTAACCAGAATTCACACACAAAAAAATTGTGTTAGTAAAATTAATGTTAATTATGATTCTCACTTTCAAGTTTTTTCATAATAAAGGCAAAGCATGCTCTAAATGTAGCCAGTGATCCCTAAAGTTCTCAAATGAAAGGTGTAAGCTACTTTACATTAGAGACAGTCTGGTCCGTGGTCCAGTTCCTGTCATTCACGGAAACTGAGAAGAGGGGGTACATGTGATGCAGTCCACAGGTAACTCCAAATGGACTCCCAGCCTTTCATAAAGTTAGACAAAGACATCTGGTCAATAGCAAGGCCTTGGGTAAATAATATAACATGTCCTAATGCTTAGACCCACTTTACAGACTAGACTTTTGACATTTTATAAGGTCAAACTCTGTTCCTGGAAATCTTAGCTGTTGAGCCTTTATCTTTATCTCATTTACTGGCTCCATATTCAGAGGAGAGTTATTTTTAAAATTCTCTAGGGACATGTGCCTTAGTATTTCTTCGAGGACACACACAAAAAACACCCATGATTAAGTCCATATTAATAATCTTATAAATCAGCTTATAAATCACCAGTCAAGTTCTGTCACATCCTGTCAATGGATTAAAGGAAAGAGAATTACAATACTCTTCTCTTAAGGTGCCTTTTCTATAGTAATTAAAATACTGTTAGCCCTGGCTGGTGTGGCTTAGCGGATTGAGCACTGGCCTAACGAACTGAAGGGTCACTGGTTCAATTCCCAGTCAGGGCATATGCCTGGGCTGTGGGCCAGGTCCCCCGCAGGGGGGACACATGAAAGGCAGCCATCAAACATCCATTGATGTTTCTCTCCCTCTCTTTCTCCCTCCCTTCCCCTCTCTCTGGAAATAAATAAAATCTTTTAAAAAATATATAAATGAAAAAATAAAATAAAATACTGTTACCATATGGTATAAGTTTTTGATGTGCTAAAAGTATCCCTCCTACTTAATTTTGTTTAGAGAAAGGGACACAGCAAGTAGGCGACTGAGGGCTGGTGTTTCAGAAGATCTGTTAAACCTAGAGACAAGCTAAAAAAGCCAGTGTGGCTGTAGCAGTACAGAAAGAGAGTTTCCTGGTGGCATTGCTGTAGACTGATACTGAGCAGCTACATGATTAGCTTCTAATAAAATGAGCAACAGCAAAAGAAAAAGGAAAAAAGGTGAGGTCGGTCCTACTGTTAAAAAAATAGTCTTCAGGAGAAGGAAAGCTACCAAGTATTGACTGACCGCTTAGTTCTCTGAGCGCATTTCAGAGGTCAACAGAAGGGACCTCCACCTTCTAGAGCTGGGAAACAGACCATTTGCATCATCCTGGAAAAGTCTTCCTGACATCTAAAACAAATCATTCATTCAACATATTCTGAGTGGCCATTGTGGGCTAATAATACAGCAGTAAACAAACTGCAGGGATTGCATGTTCTTAGTGGAGAGAAACAAAGTCAGTAAGTAAATAACTTAGCATTTTAGAGGTAGCCGGAACACCTAAGGCTCTGCTCCTCATACCTAACAGGCACAACAGATCAAAACATGGCTCAAGAACAACTCAGAGCCCCAGAGCCCATAAATCTAAGTGATGAAGAAATAGCCAAACGTTCAGATGCATAGTTCAAAACATTGGTGATCAGGATGCTCACAGAACTGGTTGATTTTAGCCACAAATTAGAGGCACATATGAAGGCTAAACTAAGTGAAATGAAGGGAAATGCACAGAAAACCAATAGTGATGGAAAGGAAACTGGGACTCAAATCAAGGGAGTGGACCAGGAGGAGGAAAAAAATGACCAAACAGAAAAGGATGAAGAAACAAGAATTCAAAAAAATGAGGAGAGGCTTAAGAACCTTCAGGACATCTTTAGAAGTTCCAACATCCGAATTACTGGGGTACCAGAAGGGGAAGAGGAATAGCCATGAGTGGAAAACTTATTTGAACAAATAATAAAGGAGAATTTCCCCAATCTGGCAAAGGAAATAGACTTCCAGGAAATCCAGGAAGCTCAGAGAGTCTCAAAGAAGTTGGACCCAAGGAGGAACACACCAAGGCACATCATAATTACATTAGCCAAGATTAAAATGAAAGAGAGAATCCTACAAGCAGCAAGAGCTAAGGGGACAGTCACCTACAAAGGAGTGCCCATCAGACTGTCAGTGGATTTCTCAAAAGAGACCTTACAGGCAAGAAAGGGCTGGAAAGAAGTATTCCAAGTCATGAAATCCAAAGACCTACATCCAAGATTGCTCTATCCAGCTCTATTAATTTAGAATGGAAGGGCAAATAAAGTGCTTCTCAGATAAGATCAAATTCAAGAAGTTCATCATCACCAAGCCCGTATTATGTGAAATGTTAAAGGGACTTACCTAAGAAAAAGAAGATAAAAAAGATGAACAGTGAAAGGACAGGAAACTCACAGTTATTAAGAACCACACCTAAAACATAAGCAAACTAAGAGGACAGCTAGATCAGGAGCAGAACCACAGAAATGAAGATCACATGGAGGGTTAGCAATAGGGAGAAGGAGAAGGGGGGAGAAGGTACAGAAAATAAGTAGCATAGATGGTAGCTAGAAAATAGATAGGGGGAGGGCAAGAATAGTATGGGAAATATAGAATCTAAAGAACTTGAGACACGACGTGGTCATAAACTAAAGGGGGGAATGGTGGGTGAGGGGAATGAAGGGGGGAAATAGAACAACTGTAATGGCATAAAATATATTAAAAAATAAATAAAAATAAATTATTTTAAAAAAAGAAGTATCCTACAAGCTATCTTCAAATACTTAGACTATGACAAGTACTTTGGAGAAAAAAAGAGAGCACGAAAAGAAATTAAGATATAAATAACTCATTCGTATTCACTGTAGGCAGCCTGTTTGCTTTATGACAGAATAGATTTTCTAATGTAACAAGGTTCCTTTATAATTAACATTACTCTTTTAAAGTATACAAGTATTCCACTATAAGATATAGAATACAACTTTATTATATTTAAAAAACTAATTATTAGTATGTCTCCATTCCTAGAGTACTTTATATATTATACTGTATGATATATATTATACATATATATCATATTAATAACTTTTTTGATGACAAGCTCTTGGTCAAGAATATACTCTATGATGAAATAACACCAGGACTTAAAAAAAATTTTTTATGTATTTATTTTAGAGACAGGGGAGGGGAAGGGAAAGGGAAAGAGAGAGAAACATCAGTGTGTAGTTGCCTCTCACATGCCCCCCACTGGGGACCTGACCTGCAACCCAGGCATGTGCCCTAGACTAGGAATCAAACCAGCGACCCTCTGGTTCACAGGCATGTGCTCAGTCCACTGAGCTACACTAGCCAGGGCAACACCAGGACTTTTTAGTGAAACACAATGAAATTTTGGATATTGCTTTTTGAAAGGTTTTGAGGATGGAGCCAATTATTTAAAAGTGAAGTTCTACTGAATTGTGAAGGTTCAGAACAAAGAACCAGGGATTTCAGGTGGCAGTAATTTCCAATTCTAAAAAACATAATTAGCCCTGGCTGGTGTAGCTCGGTGGATTGAGCCCAGGCCTGAGAACCAGAGGATCGTGGTTCAGTTCCCAGTCAGGGCACATACCAGGGTTGCAGGCCAGTTCCCTGGAGGCAAATTCCCAGCAGGGGATGCACTAAAGGCAACCATACATTGATGTTTCTCTCCCTCTCTCCTTCCCCTCTAAAGATAAATAAATAAAAATATAAAACAAGAAAACCACATAATTAGGTTCACTGGTCGCCCGGCCCTAAAATCATATATGTAGCCTAAGTCAAATAGAAATTTTGGTCATTAGTATCATTAACTTGAAAAAGAATAGTAAAAAATGAAACTCTTTGGGATGAACTCCTTAAAAAGACAGTTTTACCAACTAAAATGTACCCAAACTATTTCATTTTTATTATGTTTTGATTGTCGAGTACTTCAATTTGGATTTAAAAGCCTTACAAAATATAAATTAGATATTTCAGCAAAATAAAGTTTACCTTCAGGCTGGTGTGAGACCGTGGTTGACTTAACTCCTGAAACTTCCATTGCTCTGATCCAGGGGTCTCTCCTCCCTTCTTTGTGTCAGGAGTAAGCAATCCATCTCCAACGGGTAACGGGAAAAGCCCTAGTGATATGGGGCGTTCTTTTCTATACGAGAGGGGAGAGAAAAAATTAAGTACTTATTCATGTTTAATTCTTTATTCATTATGACTATAAGTAATAAACCTGGGCTGTTAAGACTTTAGAATCATTACTTTTAAATACTGTCTGCCTACCTGAACTAGTAGACTTACCAAAGAGAAAGTACGGGTTCTTAGAAGTTTAAATCAGCCTGAAGAAATCAACTAAGGAAAGTAGTAAGAAGTGATTAAGAAATGTTATAAACTACTGGTGAGTTCCTTGCCCAGAAAGTGGTGTGTAGTCTGCTTTCACAGAGAGAATAACTGCTCAATTTTCACTGAGGCTTCAGTTAGCCCTAGGATAGCTTGCAACCTACTCCTGTGGCAGTGACCTGACCTCTGCTTCTAGATTCCCAAGCCCTCACAGAGTCCTGGAGGTTTGCTCAACCTTCTTCATGGTATGCCTTTTCTGCCTAAAGGAAAATGAACATATGATCTAAACCAGGGTAACTCATTAAATTGTAAAAAGAGCTCAAGAAACTATTATCCCCTGAAGCAAGAAAGCTGTATTTTTCTGCAGAACCCATGTATGAGTTCCTTTTAATTACAGTACATATGAGAAGACCACTGTCAGTTTTTCTAAACAAGGAGGCCAAAATGTCTGTGAAAGACTGTAGTTTCCATTGCTTTGTGGGAGATTTCAATGAACAAGAGTTACAATTTTAATAATAATAGAATTGCAACAAGAAACTCGACCTTTGCTGATGCATAGAAGATTCCAAATCTAAAGGATCAGAGAGTATGGAAGCAAGCCTACCACAAGGTCATCCTAGGTCATTAACTCAAAAGTGTGGAAACTGGCAAGACAGGGGACACTAAAGGTTTATTAGGACAGTAAACTTGACCTTGACTGGTGGCAATTTAAGTTTGAATAGAAACACTGAGGTTATATATAAAAGTGGCATATTCATTTTTACTAAATATGTATTTTATTCTGTAAACTCATTTTTATATCAAGAACTTAAGCCACTTCTGAAATGTGCCCTCTTTTAACACAAAGGGCTTGCCCCTCCATTACTAATGACAATCAGAAAGAATTGTAAAATTGCTAGAACACTTTAAGATTAGGTGAAGCAAAGGGTCAGGAGACTGCATTTTATTAAGGTTGTATGCACAAGAAAATGAAACAGAACTTGATCCATTAAGTAAGAGTTAATTATTCATCATTTCTTCACACTTGGGTTACTTTTCCTACTTGATCTGGGAAGAAAATTTGCATGCAGGTAGGCAGCATAATAAAAGGCTAGATTTTAATATCAAATCCAAGTCTGTGACGATGAGCTGCCAAAACCACCAAATGACAAAAATCAAAGGAACTCATCAGCTATCCTGTTTATTTACACTGGTTATTCCCAAATGCTGGTTCAGTAATAAAGCTTTCCTAATTTCATGGCAAACTCATCAGCTATCCTGTTTATTTACACTGGTTATTCCCAAATGCTGGTTCAGTAATAAAGCTTTCCTAATTTCATGGCAAAAAGATGCATTGTATATTGTATCATTACTGGAAAATATAGTACATATTTTACACATATACATTTCCATATGTCATGGAACCTGTTCTTTCTTGAGAATGACCATTCTCTGTATCTTCTCTGCTTCTTGGATTTTAAAATGTTCTTTCTTTCTAAATTATAATGACAGCAATTGGGAAGTGTTTTGTTTTCCACACTTGGCAAAATAAAGAGTTGTTGACCTGATGTTTATCCCTTATGTTTGGAGGAACATATTGTGGGAACTGAAAATCTTAATGACATAAGCAAAAGAATGACTAGGAACTGAATAGATGGAATTTAATGGAAAGCTCTCTAACCCAAAATACAGAGACAACCAGGAAGATATTACAGACTTCATGTGAATCCGTCACACTGCCAATAAAATCAAATTACAGGCCAGTCCTGAGAATTATCTTCTTATATGAATAACCATTCATTTTCGCACGTGTCAAACACTGAAAAAGTGTAAAACTAATGGGGGAAGGAGAGGATCCACCACTGTGGATCCAAGTTTTACTTTCCTACTATGGTTTTTTATTATAAGAATTGTTCACACCTCTTATCTTGCTTTTATTAATCATTCAGATACTGCTCTACAGAGAGGGAATTTTCTTCGGCCACTGGCTACTATCTGTGGATGACACTCAGGGTTACATTGTTTCAACTCTTAAAAATCATCTTACTACATACATCCCTTACCTCGTCCTTTTGCTGATAAATTACATAAGAGTTAGGGGGAGGGAGAAGGACATGTAATTATGCAAGCCAGTTGGAGTCCTACTTTTGAAAAGAAACCCCAAAATATGACCATTAGACTTTTACACTATGTTGGTATGCATGTTTAGTACGCTATATATTAAGTGTTTCACTAAAATTCATGGAAGAAACCAAAGAATGGGATAATTGGAAAAATATGAAGTGGCAGATTTAATTCTCAGATGTTTCGGTGCTATTACTGTCTAGAAACAAAATTATCATCAACTATCAGAATCCTTGTAGTATTCTTTTTAAAATGGCCTTAGTTTTCTATACATCCATTTTTTAGTTGTTCATTGAAATGTTACCTTACATGCATAAATAATTTCACAAATATGTTTTGGCTTCATTAACATTTAAAGTAAACAATCATATATATGGCAGTAAAAAAATTACATGTGTTCAATACCATGTAGCAAGCACTGAAATGGATTAACTTCTATATATGATCTCATTAGTCTCCATAGGGACACAGGGATTTTTGTTTCAGTCTTCAAATTAGGAAAAGCAATGCTCAGAGACTTTAGACACCGGTAATCAGCAGACTGGGTTCAAAGTCAGACCTGTTTGACGCCAAGGCCTATACACTTTCCTTGGAACTACCTGCTTCTTGACAGTTTAATTTTAATATTGAAGACTTTGATATCTTTATTCAGATTAACAGCAACTTGTGTCAAGGAACTTACTGCATTTAATCACCAGCTATTTGATCAGGACAATGGCTGGAGCTAAAAGAGTTCTGCCAAAAGGGGGTACACATAAGAAACTATGAAAACCATCTACTCGTTTAGTTTACTATATATCTTGTAACTGATTAAGTACAAAATGATCATGTCACTTGATCTTTAAAACGGCCCAATGGGGGTGAGAACCTCTGAGGAGGAAACTCAGAGGAGCAAACAACTGGCCACAGGCCCCACAGCTTCCACGTCTGTGGCAGAACACGTGGACACAGGCAGCCCGGCTGCAGAGCCTCTCACTGGCTTCAAATCAGTCTTATTTTTAATATTCTATATATTCTTAAGTATATTTAATTTCCTAAAAGCTTATATATACATACACACACATACAAATCTTTCATGTACTGAAATATACACAAGTAATAAGATTGCTCCTCATTTTTATAAAACCACGAAAGGAAACAACCAAGGTATTTAGTTCTGGACCATAAATTTTAATTTCTGGACCTTAAACTAACGTTGAATATGAAGTGACCTGTGAATTAAAAAGAACAGATTGAAGACATTTACTACTTTAAGTCCTCTTAATTTATCTAACCCACAATGAGAAGTATTTTAAGTAAACATTTAAATTAAAAAGCTATACACTATGAACCTCCATTTAAAACCATGTGCAAAGCAGAAAGCTGAACAAAATCAGAGAGTTTAGTTTGATGAGTTAGAAACAAAAGAAACCCGAACCTTAACCCTCCAAGATGTAGGAGATGGTTCCTACAGGGTCGAGTGGAGTAAACGGCAGAAAAGCTGGAGATTAATGACCACCCCCACCGGCAGGCACGAATGTCTGTCACCCAAGTCTACAGAGAAAGGGCAACATCTGACTAAACAATAGTGAATAGGCTTTGTAAAGCTTTCACAACTTTGATGTGTAAATAATGGAGGAAAATGCATTCCTTGCCCTAAAAGGTTTAAATTCTTTCACTTTACAATATAATTTGTTTTAAGGGAAAAATTAGTTCCCATGAGCTGCTATCAAAAATTGCAAAAATAATGACTGAACCGCTAACGGTCAAAGGATAATTGGGAAAAAATAAACACCTCCAGCTTTTGTCTAATCAACTCTATGTCCCAGAGTAAAAGATATCTGCCCCTAAAAGCTCCTATGCCAAACCAGAGGTTGTATGAACTTGGACCTGGCACTCTGCTTCTGCTCGCCCCTCACTCTTTCAACACTCTGCTTAAAACAAGACCACACTGACCTTGTACTTGTAGGTAAGTACAATATGAAAACCCTTTTCTGAAGTCCATAGTTTTCAAACATAAAGCAGCATCCCTAAATGCTGGTCTACAAATGAATACAAATAAAAATAGAAACCCTAGCTTCAGGCCATTTTCCATTGTTTCAATCTGCAACAGAAATGGTTACAAAGCAGATGCCTGAAGCTTGAGAAAAACCAACTAAACGGGCTGCTAAGAGAGACTGGAGTACCTGAGTATCCTTGGTAGGTTCTGCGTCAGAGCTGGCACACCGGTAGAGATAGAAAAGTGCACAAGCAGCAATACAGAGAGAGATACTAAGATAGCAGAATTAATGACCACCGCCCCGCCAACAAAGCCAAACACAAACAGCAGCATGCATCCAGGACTCATGGCGCTGTGCTGGCATGGTGAACCGCCCGAATCAGGAGGCCTACACGGGGGCCAAAGGGGTATCTTTGTAGTAAGGATCTGTCATTCAGCTGCTGCCACGAAAACAATGCCATCAGCAGCAGCTTTCCACTCCGTCCTGCAGCAGCTCCGAAGCGATGACGTCACCCCGCTCTCCCCGCCTCATAACCATAGAGCTGCTGCCCCTAGCATTTATGCAGCAATCCTGAGCGACAGGCAGCCTATTAACTACGTTCCTCTCCACTAAGTATCCTGGCTTAGCTCATTGGCTACAATGCTTGGAGATCTACATAATTTATTCACACTCCTACATCAAACAGAAGTCTCACTAACCCTTTCAACCATGCCTTGCAGTAACAAAAAAAGACTTTAACCAGGAGAACTGAAAATGTTCAGCATTCCTAAAAATCAGAAAAATTTAAACCTACTGTAATCTCCATTACTAGAAAGCAATCAAAATACATCAGTATGCTGCTTGTACAACATGGCCCACAATTTACCTCTGAAATGGTGAAAGTTGTTTCTGTTTTTCTATGCTATTCTTTCCTACAGCATTCCAACCACAGTAGGGAGCTTTTGAATCAGCCTAGCTATTGTTCCAGGATTAAAGAACAGAGAGAAACAGAAATAGATTATTCATTTTTCTTTTTTCTCAAGGCAAACATGTGACACAGCTTACCTAATTCTACTATGTGCGGCAGACTCTAGTTGATCACTCCCTGAGAGCTGATGAAGTTTTGTCCTTTCTAAGTGTTCCATATAATTATGGATCATCTGTTTTGAAGAAAAAAATACACAAAAATTTAAGACTAATACCTGGAATAAAAAACATGGAGTTTTAACAAGGAAAACATTTCTGTATTAATTCCTTATTTAACAAATTACCCATAGCTCCATTTAAAAGATCATTAGGCCCTGGCTGGGTAGCTCAGTTAGTAGAGTATCGTCTCAGTACACCAAGCCTGCAGGTTCGATCCTCAGTCAGGGAACATACAAGAATCAAACAATGAATGTATAAATGGAACAACAAAACAATGTCTGTCTCTCTTTCTCCTTCCCTCCCTCCCTCTCTCCTCTTGCCACTCTAAAAAACAATAAATCAATTTTTAAAATAATTTTTTAAAAGAATGTCAGAATGAAAAAATTTTGAAGGGGAGGGCTAAGGGGAGTAAAGAGGGCAAAGGAGGGATAAACGGGGACAGAAGGAGACTTTACTTTGGGTGGTGGGTGCACAAAGCAGGGTGCACATGTTCTGCTGGACTGGACACTTGAAATCTGTGTGGTTTTATTAACCAATGTCACCCTAATAAACTCAATTAAAAATAATTTTAGTGGCAAAGAAATGTGCAAATGCTTACATTTAAGGATGCTGGTGTCATAAAAGTAGGCAACATGCTGCTTAGCATAGCAAAAAACCTTTTTTACATTGCAATACTATTAAATGATATAATTTTGACATAATACAAATTAGGACACAGACACTTGGGAAGTGATCAGAGAACTGGTTAAAATGAATAAGAGAGGGCATCTGAGAAGCTCATGAAGTGAAATGGGAAACAACAAAGAAATTAACATGAAACTTGAGAAGAAAATGACAAGGAGAAAAATCCAAGATGTCCTCAGAAGAGCTTTCATCTGTGAGAGTTTTTGTTTAACAAAACCATACCTTTACGTGGCGATCTTTTCTATTTTACAAAGGATTCACAGAGTCAAGATCACCTTCAAGTTAATTAATTTAATTAAATGCCAAGATGTTTACTTATTATTTCTATATATTTAGTTGAAAGAATGCTAATATATTTTCTCCTTTGTTTGCTAAATTACTGGTATCATTACTTAATCTAATTATCTATATAGCAGCACATTAAAACAAATAAAAAACCAGGGCACTGTGATTTTGTGTCTTGGATAGATGAGTTGAATATGAAAGTGAAAACTTCAAGGTTATTAAGTATATAAACTGCCAAGAAATTCTATAGCCCTACTAATATTCTCAATAATCTGTAGTTCCACTTTTAAGAAACTTAAATCTGACATTAAAATATGTAAAATGTGGTAAGTTTCAATTATAAAATAAAAAAGCTTTTCCTACATATTAACATGATGTGAATAATAAAAAGTAGCCCTGGCTGGTGTAGCTCAGTGGATCGAGCATGGGCCTGCAAACCAGAGTATGGCAGTTCGATTCCCAGTCAGGGCACATGCCTGGGTTGCAGGCCATTTCCCAGCAGGGGACACATGAGAGGCAACTACACACTGATATTTCTCTCCTTCTCTCTTTCCCTTCCCCTCTAAAGACTCCTTCTCTCTTTCCCTTCCCCTCTAAAGATAAATAAATAAAATCTAAAAAAAAAAACAAAACCAGCACACATTAAAAAAAAAGTAAATTAAAAAACAACAAAAGTAGGGCAGGGGACAGGGAGGAAAGGAAGGGGAAGGGTCTAACCAATGAACAGGTACAAAGGGCCCATGGGAACGGACAACAGGGTGGGGGACTGGCTGTGGGGGGGGTAGGCAGTGGGGAAAACTGGGACAACTGTAATATAGCAACAAGTTTCAAAAAATAACAAAAGGTATGTTATCAATATAAGAAATATAAATATTAAGAATAGGCAAACAGAAAAGTCAGTATCTTTTGGGGGAATATTTCCTGAATTCTTAAAACTGTCGCATATCTTTGGAAGTTTCTAAACTTTAGCTGTATGAAGGTGGGTTTTGATATTAATAATTTAAATATTCATTGTAGCATGTTAAAAAGATAACTGCTGAAAAAATTTTAAACAAAATTGAACATTTTTTAAAAGTACACTTTTGTTGTGAATATTTTAGTTGGCATTCATGTACAATCATGAAATATGTAAACCAATCTCACAGTTATTAGCAAGTAAACATAATGCTGAACTCTGATGCATGAATGAAGATGAGTAATTCCATCAAATCACATATTTTTTTAAAATATTGTAATTTTTTTAAAGAGAGGGAAAGGGGTGGAGAAGGAACTTGGCCCACAACCCAGTCACGTACCCCAACTGAGAATCGAACTAGTGACTCCCTAGTTCACAGATCAGCACTCATGCCACTGTGCCACACCAGCCAGGGCTCAAACATTAAAAAAAAATAATTAATTAGGTTTGTTCCCCACTTGAGACTAGTCCAAACAAGCAATGTACAAGGCAAAGAAAAATGAATACAGAATCACATGAATATGGTATGTGAAAATATTTTTCAACCTTTAAGTTTATATATACACTTCTTTTTTTAAATGTACAGATTTTCTCTTTAATAACAGTTTTGCAAAAAATACAGTTTGTCTTTGTATCAGCAAGCCAGAAATAACAAGCTGTTTTCTTCTTGTTGTCAGGAAGAACTCTAAGGAAAAATATTTATTTTTTTAAAAATTTATTTATTTTTAGAGGGGGAGAGAGGAAGAGAAACATCAATGTGTGGCTGCCTTGTACGTGCCCCCCACCGGGTACCTGGCCAGCACCCCAGGCATGCGTCCTGACTGGGAACTGGGAATATAGTAACCACCCTTTGGTTCCCAGGCCTGCACTCAATCCACTGACGACACCTCCAGGGCTAACAAAAAATACTCGAATGAGACTAATATAACAAAATGATAAGTGGGCCAATTATCAATTTATACCTTCAAAAGGTTTTAGAAAACCTAAGTTGAATTCTTTTATACTGGATGGTAATCATATAAAGTTGTTTAGTTCCAATGGAAGAATCTAAACTTCATTAAGCAATTCAGATGAACAGAAACCTCCCCAAGATTGCTTTTATAGTAATGTTTATTTAATATAGCATAAAAAGAACTATAAATAAAACAAAGAGAAAATCAGTTTTACTCCAAAATAGTTAATCTACAGATTGACTCTTGTATTAAATGATTAAATTAAAAATGTTTAATAAGGTGCTTCTCAGATAAGATCAAATTCAAGGAGTTCATCATCACCAAGCCCTTATTATATGAAATGTTAAAGGGTCTTATCTAAGAAAAAGAAGTTAAAGAAACATGAACAGTGAAAGGACAACAAACTCACAGTTATTAACAACCACACCTAAAATGAAAGCAAACTAAAAGGACAGCTAGATCAGGAGTGAAAACATAGAAATGAAGATCTCAAGGAGGGTTAGCAACAGGGGAGTGGGAGGAGGAGAAGGGGGGAAAAGGTACAGAAAATAAGTAGCATAGACAGTAGATAGAAAATAGAAGGGGGGGGCAAGAATAGCATGGGAAATATAGAATCTAAAGGACTTGAGACACATGGTCATAAACTAAGGGGGGGTAATGGTGGGGATGGGGGGTAGGGTGGAGGGGAATGAAAGGGGGAATAGAACAACTGTAACAGCATAATCAATAAAAATTTTAAAAAATAAAATAAATAAATTAATTTAAAATGTTTTTAATTTAGAAAATGCTGAATCCTAAACCTTCAAATGACTGATCTCAATTCAGATGTAGTATTCTGCCATTCCAAAATGGTCTAGGTAGTGAAACTGGTTCCAACCCAACTACACTGGAAGTTAATAAATAGGAGAGAATAACAACAAAGCAGCAGCTGACATTTATTGAGCACCAACTACAAGTCAACCAGTGCACTACCAGCCATTGCTTCATTTAAACCTCACAACAATAGTAGAATTTTAGGGGACTCCAGTTTAAAGAGGTTAAAATAACTTGTCCTATTTGACCAGCTAGTTAATAATCAACTATGTTCTGTCATTAGCTGGTTGGCTTTGGGGCCAGAACTCAGGTCCCTCTGACTCAGAGCTGAGCAGGTAAGCCTTATAGGACTCATGGTGTATCTGACCTTTTAGTTAGTTCTCTAGGCAGACAATAAGCTCATTGTCTTTTCTTCCTCACACCCACAAGAAAACCCCACACCCTTAAGCATTTCTTGACGTCTGAAATAAAATATGCACTAATTCTATAAATGCACAAAAGAGTAGAAAATATAAACTGTACCAAAAATAAATTTTAATTACAGGGCTTCACAATGTAGCTCTGGTCTTTGAAAAATCACACGTGGGAGGGCAGGATCAGTACTGCCAGATAGAAGATAAAGAAAAGAGTAAAATGGAAGATGCTTTAGATCATCTATAGTTGGGTCCACCAGCCTCATCCCTCCTGATCTCAGAACTGCAGTTCTTAAGTTTCTCAGGTATACACATCTATTCACACATAGTCAGATGTCAAGTCAGCAACCAATAGGTAGAGTCACAAAAAAGGACTGCAAGCACACCATCTGAAAAACCCCAACTCCCTCCCTCCCAGAGGAATGTTCACATTAGAGGTTGACTGTCAGCTTTGACTAAAACTGATAAGCGAGGCAATAGTGAGGTTTTGGAGACAGTAACATGGATCCCTTTAATTGTGTTGAACTTAAATCTTTCCATATGCGGCCCAACAATCAAATATCTATATCCACTGAGTCACTCTTCTTACAGCTGCTGGGATGTGGTAAAGCAAAAGGGCACAGAAGAATTTCCAGTACATTTAACACCCCTGTGTTCCACAACCTAAAAGCGTTCCTGAAAATTCAGACGATGGATTCAGACAGACCTAGATTCAAATCCAGTCACATACTAGCATTGGGGCAGATCACTTCATACTACTTCGAAACTTCGATATGTAAAGTGGGTTTGATCAGATGATAAAATGAGAATGCATTGAAATATTCCCTGATGTAACATCAAGGGTTCAAGTTTTCAGGAATATGAAGAGTATGCACATGTGGCCGAGTGCCTCGCAATTACTTGATGTTTATTATGTCTTCGACTTCCCTCTTCTTTAAGCATGTTTTTTAAGCACTTTCAGTGATGTGTATAAAATTTTGGATCTGATTAGAGAACAGTTATTCATGTTAATGAATAGTCATAGTTTTCCCTAAACAGCAAACAATGTGTTGGATATAAGTGCTATTGAAACATTTTTAAAAGCTTACTTTAGTTTGTAATAATTGTGAAAAAATGAAGGTTAACTCTTTCAGACTTCCTTTCCCTGAAGGTTCCCAGAATTTACCTTTCAAGGACATCTGGGTCATTAGCACTCGATAGCAATTTACAATTGCTAATTGAATGGCATTTCTTGGACAGATGTATAAACGCAGAAAAATGTGGTCTCCAGTGGAACAAACCCACATATCAAAGCAGCTATATCGGTGTTACATAAACCTTCCTTGAGGCAGGGCAAAATAAGGGGGGACCATCGGGGCTGAAGGCAGAAGCTGCGGGGACTGAGGGAGAAGACCTGACAAAAAGAGGTGCTCTGCTACATGCCGCATCAGCCTCGGGTACTGCACAGGCCTAGCTCTGGAACCGGTATTTATGAGTTCTCCTGGGATCTTTCTTCTTCCTCGAACTATCCTACTGTGAAGGAATAGGACAGAAAAATTATTATATCCTTTTATTTCAAGGTGTCAAGTTGTTTTTCGGTAGCAACATTAGTATTATTAAACAAATACGTAGCCCTGGCTGGTGTGGCTCAGTGAATTGAGTGCCGGCTTGCAAGCTGAAAGGTCACTGGTTCAATTCCCAGTCAGGGCACCTGCCTGGGTTGCAGGCCAGGTCCCCAGCTGGGAGCATGTGAAAGGCTATCCATTTGAAGAATCTCTTGCACACAGAGGTTTCTCCCTCTCTGTTTCTCTCTGCCTTCCCATTTCTCTAAAAATAAATAAAACACCTGGCTGGTGTAGCTCAGTGGATTGAGCGTGGGCCTGCGAACCAGAGGATCACGGTTTGATTCCCAGTCAGGGCACATGCCTGGGTTGCAGGCTGGTTCCCTGCAGGCCAGTTCCCAGCAGGGGATGCACTAGAGGCAACCATACACTGATGTTTCTCTCACCTTCTCCTTCCCCTCTCAAGACAAATAAATGCAATCTCATAAATAAATAAATAAATAAATAAATAAATAAATAAATAAATAAATATGTGAGGGAAAATTATAAAATTTCACTTTATGGTAATTTTTCAAGAATGCATGTATTTTACGCATACTTCAATTTAACACATCATACTTTAACAATCCTCAATTATTACAAAAGGTAGAATTTCAATGAAAAAGAAAAGGATTACTCATCACTATCAATTCACTTCTGGTACACACACGTATTCCCCCAAACATATTTATAATTATAGCATTGATAAGCACTACTAGTAAACGCTATATACAAGGCATTGTTCAGCCACTGAAGTGAGGGATGTAAAAAGAACCAACAATAAGCCTTTACCAATTGTTGTTTTAACAGTCTTGATCTCCACCAGGTGCCGTCTCATTAAAATGCGGGTATTTTCTATGTGCTGAAAGGCTTCTGGGAAGCTTCCTGTCTTCCCAGAGCTCTATGTCCAGCCCTCTGTGACCAATCTTCTCCCTCTGCCACTGAATTTCAGTTCGGTGGCACTTCATGCTGTGTGAGGCTATGTCAGCTAAGGTAGTGATATCAAACCTTTATGTCAGAAAGAAATCCAAACCCCTCTCCAAGAACATTTTAAGCACATTATTCCAAAGCTGATAAAACCAAGTGCAGTGGGTTTTATCTCCCTGAAAAGCAACAATATACAGGTTTCCACTAGACACAGGACAAGCGATCACTCAAACCAGTGAAAGAAAAAATGAGAGCTGAAGGCTGGAACTGTCTGCATCATGGGAGAGATTGGACTAGGAAGGGAAAAAAGAGAGGGATTCTTTTTTCTTATAACATGCAGTGCATGCATGTATGGAAATTCTATGTATTTAAATATGTGACCCCCAAGCTGATGGTGATACAACAGAAATAATTTTCACATTAAGGAGATATAAACAAAAGCAACAAATGAAAGAGAATCATAAAAAGGTTTAAAAAAACCCTCAAGTACGTTTTCTAATTTACTTTGGATAGATTATGTACTGAGGTTACTAAATTAAAATACTGAAAAATATTAAAATTTTGGCTTTGTGACTTTACATATGTAAGTGCTATGATATAATAGGAAGAGCTGCCCTATTAAAATACTGAAATTTCATGCAGAAAACCTGTTTCGGAGTCACTTTGATTTAACACATTATAATTTGTGTTTATATTATTTGTTGTAAGCCTAAGGCCAGTAAGCCCTTTATCTGAATTATAAATGTAAAGAATCCTCCACGTAATTTACCAATCCATCCTCTATCAAGTGTTAACAAGATAAACTAAACCAGTTCTCTCGTGGTAGCTTCTTGTACACTTCTGACCATGCACACTTAAGTTTTTACTTGACCAGCCAAAGGACCAACTCCCGGAGGCACACTCATGAAATGAAATGAAAAGGTAATTCCAAGTAAAAAACGTTAAAAGCCAACATTTGGTAATTAGGCAAATGCTACATGAAATTTAATGTTTTCTGAGAATTATCCCCAAGAATCATACTAGCTGATTTTCACAGAAAACTTAAGACATAATTCCTAAGGTTTTTTGTACTTAGTATCAGCACGGTAAGAATGACCCAAAAACCCACCTCAGTGTGTCTTTGATGTAATGCATTATATTCTTTCTTCAGTTCTGCTTCTCTTTCTTCAAGTCTGCTAACTGAAATTAAGATACACACACTTAATCAAAACAAAACATAAAAAAAATTACTTGAAAATTCCATCTTAAAATCTGGGAATGGGTTAGCCATAATCCTTAGCAACTTTAGGACTTGGTTGCCGCACATGAAATTCTTCACAAAGCTAGTAACCTCATTTTACCATCCCTAATAAATAAAACTTTCAGAGGGGAGATAAACTGGATTTAAAAAAATTAAACAACAGATTGCTTCTCCTAACACACACAGGTTTTCAGGTCATCCCCCTAAATAGGTGTTTTAAATGGTATAAAATTACCTCTTTCAAAAGCACTTTGCAGATCACCTCACAGAAGTTTTAACCTGGGATCAGGGCCCAAATCATTGATTTCTCACAGTATTCAAGCTCTTTTTTCCCTGCAGAGCTGTGCATGAGCATGCCATTGCTTTAAGCACTGAGATACTTTTTCTGCTTTGAGTCTTAATTGCAGGGACTCATCTTCTTTTATTTAGCTCCCTCTGCTGATGGACTTCGTGAGGGGCACTGATTTGAAGAAGTGCTCACAGAGCACTACTTTATGGTATCAAAAAAAAGTTTTAGACTGCTCAGACAGGATTTCACAGGAAAGAATGGTAACAGAGAGGACTGATTCTGAGAGAAGGTGGAGTTCAAGCAGGAACACAAAGAAACCACAGCACCCAAAATAGATGATGATGAGAGTGTCCCAGGCACTGTCAGCACAGAGATGGGAACACAAATCCATGCTGCTGGCAGGGCAGAGAGGGGAGACTGGCCGGCCTGGAGGAGCCCACGCTGGCGGAGAAGTAGTAGGAGGCAGTCTGCTGGGGTGAAATACAGCTGGTGCTAGGGGAACCTGTCCAGATACTCATTTAAGTCTGTCTGAATGCCTGACATTAGTTAGAAACTCTCCCGGCGCAAGGGCAGCTACCTGCCAATACACAAGGCGGTTTGTAAGCGATAATCTGTAACTGCGTGAACACAGCAGATACGAAACGACAGGCAGTGTGTGCTGCTTGCTAAACTCAATGGTTTGGGCAGCTTTTCTTGCCACCTTTGTTTGAGTATCTTGAAAATATGTTACTAATTAGGAAAACTGTAGCTCTGACTTCTGATTTGTTTCTAATGAAGCCTCTAATTTGGCTCATTAAATTTACACCAGTGAGTAAACACACATTACAGTCCGCATGATGCACACACTATTGTGCCAGGCACGGGTTTAGTACAGGTGCTCCTCATCCTGCAGCTGAGGACAGTAAAAAGCAAACTTGTAATGCAGATGTGTTATGACAACACGATATCGAAGCCGTAAATTTTAGTGCTACTTCTCTGCCTTTTATATGAAAAGAGTAAATCCAAGCAAATTGAGACATTTAGTAACAATTTCCACCACTTGTCAATCTGGTCTAAAAGCTGAATCCTGAAACTACTGGGTAAACCTTATCTGTTTTTAATTGTACATATTCAAGATTTTCTTGGTATTATGCAACCAAAAAAAAAAAAAAAACAAAAAAACAAACCCTGGCAGCTAAGGCTAAAATAAACCATGACTATTATCTATAACCTTCTATTTCAAATTTGTGTCCCACACTAAACCCTTGTTATTCTTGTCAGCTAATTTGATATGAATCCGTAAAATAAATTTATATTCCCATCACTACCACTACTAACAGCTAACACTATTATACTTATTATGTACCATGCACTGTCCTATGTATGTTACATGAACAGACTTATTTGAGCCAGACACCAATCTTATGATGCAAGTGTTATTACATTCATTTTAGAAATCAGGTAACTAAAGCAAAAAGGAGTCCAGTAACTTGCCCACAGTCACAGAGCTAATAAATGGGAAAACCAGGGAGGGTTCCTGATGGAAGAACCTAGGTCCAGAATCTGTTTTGAATTACCATGCTACACTGCTGCCTCTCAAGAAATGCTCTTTATATAATACTCTGTTGTATATATGGGAGCCTACTTTGAAATTTTACTCGTAAAAAAAAAGTAGAGAGTACTTCTGAAAAGAACCTAGTCACAGACAGGTACCCAACTCAAGGGTATAAAAATGCCGAGTAAAATACATGCCCAACTTTATTAATCATGGAAAAAGCATTTTAAAACCCAATGCAAGAAGCATCGCATACCTGTCAGAATAGCTCAAATGAAAACCACAGTGTGTCCAGTGTGGGTGGAGCAACAGGAACTCACACATACTGCTGGTGGGAGTATAAACTGGTATGGCCAATGTCAAAACTGGCAAGTCTTAATAAAGTTGAATATTTGACAATCCTATGACAAAACAACTTCATTGCTAAGAGGTATATAAGTGCGTCCATCAAAGGGCAGTTAGAACAATGCTCAAAGTAGTACTATTGTAATAATCCAAACCTGAAAGCAAACTATCAACAGCAATATTTATAAAAATCCATGTAGTAGAATACTATACAACAACGAGATGAACAAATTATTGCTAGACACATTATGGACTAATCTCACAAACAGGATATTGAGGGAAAGCAGCAGAAGCAGAAGAATACAAAGTTCATTCTGGCTAGTGAGGCTCCGTTGGTTGCAGCGTCCTCCTGCAGTCTGAAAGGCTGAGGGTTGCATTTCTGGTCAGGGCACATACCCACGTGGTGGATTAGATTCCTGGTCAGAGCGCAACCAAGAAGGCAATCGATGGATGTTTCTCTCTCCCTGCCCCACCTCTCTCTAAAAGAAATGAAAAAAAAAAAAAAAGAAAAGAAAAGAAAAGAAGCAAGCTCTGGCTGGTGTAGCTCACTGGATTGACTGCTGGCCTGTGAACCAAAGGGTCGCTGGTTCGATTCCCAGTCAGAGTATATGCCTAGGTTGCGGGCCAGGTCCCCTGTAAGGGGTGTGTGAGAGGCAACCACGCATTAATGTTTCTCTCCCTCTTTTTCTCCCTCCCTTCCTCTCTCTCTAAAAATAAGTAAATAAAATCTTTTTTAAAAAGGTCCTTGGGTGAGGATTTAAAAAAAGTGTAAACACATAATGAACTAATCAAATGTATTACAAGTGAGGATACTTGTTACCTTTGGGGAGGAGTTAGCAATCTGACAGATACAAGTAACCTCACTCCATCCCGGTCCAAACACAGTGTATTTCCATTCACATAGAAATTCCCTTGGCTTGAATACTTGTTACTGTTTATGTTCTCCAGCAACCGCTATAAAGTCAACAGGATTTAATCAGACTATTCAGAACCATTACAAACAAGGTGTGCTGATTCATCATGAAAATGTGCAGGCAGTTCTGGCTGGTGTGCTCAGTGGATTGAATACCAGCCTGCAAGTGGAAAGGTTGCCAGTTCGATTCCCTACCAGGGCACATGCCTGGGTTGCAGCCCGGGTCCCCAGTTGGGAGTGTGTGAAAGGCAACTGATTGATGTTTCTCTTGCACACTGATGTTTCTCTCCCTTTCTTTGTCTCTCTCCCTTTCCCTCTCTGAAAATAAATAAATAATAAAATCTTAAAAAAAAACAAAAACCAAAACCCATATAGGTAGATGAGCAAAAATGTTACCAGATTAGAGAATTATAAAAAGAAAAAAGATGGGCATCCTGGGAAGATAAGTTGGAATTACTCTTTTGAAGGTCACATTGGTGATATCTGTTAAAATAAGCAATGTGTGTAGTATTACTGTTCTTATTTAAAACACACCAACATATAATAACTGCCAAAGTGGAACTGCCCCCAGATCTGTCATCAGTTGGTTGGTGAAGTGAATTACGACACCTGTACAATGGACTACACAAAGCAGTGTGTGGCTTTGCTAGTTCCGAGTTATGTTATCTCAGGTGTATTAACCTCTCTGGGCCTCCGTTCACAGATTTGTAACTGACGAATAATGATAGCATATCACAGCTGAGGTCAGCACTGAGTGAGTTAATATTTGTAAAGGGTGCAAAGTATTGCCCGAGCACACATTTTGCAAATACAACCACAAAAGGAAATGTTAAAAGCAATGCAGTATATCTATATGTACCTACATGGATGGTACCTGGAACTGAAGGGGCGGATCTGCATCTGAGAATAAAAAATACAAACAACTTCCAATACGCCACTACCATGTCAACAAAGCCAAAGCTGAACTGACTGTCCTTCCCAAACCTCTTTGTCCTTTCCCATAATCTTCTCTGGCAAAAATCTTCAGTTATTCTTTAGTTCTTCTCTTTCCCTCACGTCACATATCCAACTTATCAGCAAACTGTTTTATCTTCAAAATAAACCTAAATTCTGACCACTTTTTACCATCCCCATCACACTCACCTTGGTCTAAGACATCACATCCTGCCTGAATTACCACAACTCTCTCCTGACCAGAGTCTCTGCTCTAGCCTCTGCTCCCCTGGATTCTCCAAACAGCAGTCTGGGTAAAGTCAGAGAGTGGCCGACTGAGCCAAACCCTGTCACATTGGTTTTTTTTAATCCTGACAATGCGATATACATGTACACACACATACATATACTGAAACGACACGCGCCACTCCTGGGGCGGGCCAATAAAAACCTCCCACACGTAACGCTCCATTTCCTTTCCCCTTTCCTCCGACTTGACGACTGACTTGTAGCTGAAAAGAGCCTGTGTCACCAAAGGAGCCACCCATCCACGGGGAACATCCATGTTAAACTTCACAGAAACGACAAATAGCATTTGAGTCAATACGTATGTATTTCGTGGAATAGTTTGTGTCTTCGCTATTCTGGATGATTTTCTGAATGTTATTCTGGCGATTATTTACTCCAACCTAACACCTTCAGCAAGTACCCTGACAAAAAACTGTCTACAACTTAACATATTTCATGTTTTCTTTACCTGTGCTGTGATTCTAAAGACTAGCATTATCTTTTTAAGTATATGAGTTAACCACAGATCATATAATACAAATTGATAACCTCTTGCTTTTTTCTGAAAATACTTAGTATGACAACATTCAGTACGACCATGTAGTCAAAGGACTCTGTTTTCTCAAGGCCTAACTCC